CTGCATTCAACTGTGCCGAGATTTTGCTACTGGAAACGTGAGCCATGAAATACCTCTCCAAGGTGTCATAAATGTCAGCATCCAGCATTTCTTCAACACTCACCTTGGAGAGCCTCCATTAACAACTATAGAATCATGCTACTTGCATTACCGTACTGAATGTAGGAATTGTAGAATCTATACGAAAGTATTTTTTTTTCCTACAGCCCTATATAGGCTGGTTTCAGCTACAGTTGTATATAAAAGCTGTGTATTTTCATGTCTTGCACTGGAACCCTGCCAACATTAGGTTGATCAGTAGCGCTTGCATAGTAAAAGGATCAATAGTTTCAGTTTTATCTGTTGTGAGACTTTTTCCAGCATTGACTGCATTACAATGTCATTCTTGCTTTCATCCTTTTGGCTTTATACTAGATGTTTACCAAGAGTAATGTTTAAACTGTGAAAAAAGGGATACCGTCATGAAAGAGATTACATGAGCATTTGCAACCTACTTCTCTAAATGGTACATGGCTAGCTTTTGTGCTGCACCTCTGGTGACTTGGAACAAGTATGTAGCAGGCGAATTTGTAAGCTCTATTGTTTTTCAGGGCAGTGACTGGCTAAGTAGTGAAGCTGTAATATAAAAACATAAGTCAGGTATTAGCATTTTGCAAGAAGATGACAGTGCCAGTGCAGTATTTCTTCAATGTCAAGTTTCCTTTTTTTGTGTTTTTTGCACATGTTTTAATCCACATTTGGGCCTCATTTAGAGAAAGATTTAAAAACCCCCTTAGAATTATATATTTCCTGAAAGCAGGGACCCTGTAGAATAAAATGGTGGCAGTTTCAATTTTTTATGTTGCATAGTGCAACTGTTTATTAAACCCAGAATTTCAGTATAAAATACACTTAAGTTAAGTTTAAGTCAAGATAATACCCAATTTTTGGTAAAATATAAAAGAGGAGGTTGTGTTGAGTAAAAAAGATACCCAACATGCCAAGTTTAAAAATTGTGTGCGCTCATGAGGTGGCGAAAAACTATGGTACCCCAAATTGTCCATAGACAACACTTTAAAAACCTGTACAAGGTCATCAATTTAGGCCCCGTTCACATTGAGCGATTTATCACGCGATATTTCCCGCGATATCGCGGCAAATTACTGCGCGATATCGCTCTCCAATGCTTCTCAATGGGGCAAAGGGTCCTGCTGTCGCGGGTCGTGTGTCGCTACAGCAGGACCCTTTTTGGAGCGGATTTTGCCGCGATTCAAATGCTTTCAATGAAAGCATTTGCGCGGTATCGCGCAAAATGCAAATCGTGCGATAAACGCGCAATTTGCATATCGCGGAGTGTGAACGGGGCCTTAGAGTTAACCAGGAATAATGGTTCTCAAATTATTGCTCTCACTCTGGCGTAGTCAGCAATACCTAACATGCATGGCGCAATTGTTGTTTTAGTATGTAATCCCAACAAAAGAAGGCTCTATTTGTCTCAAAGGATATAAAAATTATTTGGTACAGTGATGCATGACCGGGTGATTGCCAGTCAAAGTATCACAGCACTGAAAAATTGCTTAACATGCCAGTTCTCAGTTATATGAGATAAATGAGCTCTGGGGGGCATTTGAATATGAGATCCCAAATGTTTTCTACATTCCGGTTCAGGAAATACAGGCTAGATTTGAAGCTACTGCCTCAGTGGCGTGTACGACAGTAACATCCTGGGGGCGTGGAGAGCCTCAGATTCATGGGATCTTCTTATTCCCCTCCCAATAGCTTACTCTGTGATTATAGAGAGACATATAGTAGTACCTTATTAGCTATATGAAATGTGTCCTTTACTAAAGCATCTACAATCTGCTGTTTTAGTGGGCTGGAGGGGGTAATTACCTTGGGGTGCACTGCTATTTGTGCACCAGAGTGATATGAGACCTCAGAATATGCTTGTTATTGATTTTAACAATAATAAGCAATTATTTAGAACATATTTTATATTTGGGGGGCAGTGCAGATTACAGCAGAAAGCTATACAATGTTGATTTAAAAAAAAAGGAGTACAATACAGATTATTGACATCAAAGTTGTATATTAATAGGAACATTTTATTATATTCTTTTCTTCATACTATCATTAGATAAATCTGAAGACAAAATTGAACACATTTGCAGAGTTTAAGACACACTAATAGTTATCATAGAAAGGGGACACCTAGTCTGACCACATAAGTAGAAACGACAGCTTTGCCATCTACGCCTTGAAGTCCATACTGTAACTCTTTGTATGGCAGTATCCATTATAATTGCTTGAAAACATGTTTGTTATTTTCTGACTTGATTGTCTCTTTAATATTAAAATAGAACTTTGAAGCAGATACTTTGCTTGCATTTCAGTTACTTGATTTAGGTAGTCATTTGTGACCACAACGTATATGCAGAACTTCAATTTCAATAGAATTCTTGGCTCCCTCACGGCTCAGTAAATATAAACAGTCACAAGCAATTTGTGCAGCGTGAGAATGAGCAATAGCAGGTCTGCAGTGGTCATGTAGCGAGGCTTATAGACGAATCCCCTCCTTCCTGTTTACTTACTTGATATTGACCACTTCTCTACATAAGATTTACAAATTATATTACAAGGTTATAGAGTCCAGTTGAATGTGACTAACTTTTGCTAGCTATACCGTGACCTGGATAAATGAAAACCTTAAAGGATATATTACTTAGAAGCAATGTGTGTGTGTTTGTATATATGTAGTGCTGGTGACTTCTATTATGGTCTTATCGGACATACTCATTAATGTGCATTGTGTTAAGGCATCCCATTCAAATGCATGGGCTGCCAACGCACCGGAACGGTAAAGGAAAATAGACATGCAGGATTTTTTTTCAACACAGCACACAATGTACACTCATGTGTTACCATCCGTTGTGGTGCGCCACACAGTATCTGTCAGAGGTCCGTTGGGTTAGTGTGTTGTGGTATCATTCATTTTTAATTACACCAGAACACACTAATGCAGGTAAACTCAATGGCAAAGTGTAAATTGGTCCTAAAACTCTACCTGCTGCCTCATAAAGGAGAATACAAAATATTGCTATGCAAGATTTAAAGCAGAACTTCAGGTAGAGAGCTTGTGGTCATATCTGTGGGGGGAAAAAACTTAACTCTGCTGATGTTTATGCCACATTTGGTTCTGTGCAGTGTAAAAATTATACTTTTATTCATAGTGTATAGTACAGTCATTCATACAGAGGAGCAAAAGTGTGGTTTATCTGCTGCATCTACCCCTGTCTAGTCACAAAGTGCCTTGTATTCTGTGAATGGTTCATCATAAGGGGCATTTCATGTTCACAAATCTGGATGTCTTTCATGAAGCAGAACACAGAATAAATCAAAAGTGCATTGAGCAGTATAGTATAGTAACCATTCAGATTTTAACTTACCAAAGTCAGGTGACTGAACGCCCTGCTGTGTATCATTCTTTTCAAAGAAAACCTGTTCTCCCTCTTGTCATATCAAAGTGGAAATGAGAACTGGAGTGCAGAACTGATGACAGTTCCACTTTCTCTCTCACCACTCCAAAGCTGCTCCTGTCAGCATCATGAAAGCTTCTTCCGCTGCCGGAATCTACCTTCTTCAGCCATAGGGCAGCCAGTGTTGATGCAACTCTGCTGCACATGTGTTCCATTCTTTGTTATGTTATAGTTGCTGAGAGTGTACATTGCACCATAGGAAGTTAAAAAAAAGACAGTGAAATTAATTTTGGCAACGAAGACAGTGAGTTGCTAGCAAATTTTTTTTTGGACTTCAGTTGTATTTTAGGTTTATAATGGATTGCAGTTGGCTAAGTAGGCACTTTTACAATAGGTAATAACACCAAAAACAAGTAGAAGTGGCATCATCTTGCCTCTCTCTTGAGCCAGCCTGGGGGCACTTGAACAAATCAGCCATAGGGAACTCTGCTCTGTAATCCTAGACGTAAAACCCATGCGTAGAGAAAAAAATATTCTCAATGTCTGCATCCTAAGGAGGGGGAGTGACTTCAGTGAGAGGGGAGGGGTTAAGTTTCAATGTTTCCCAAAGTCGAAAGTTATATTAGATATATTAGTTATATTAGACATGCGGGGTGTCCTATAAAGCAAGCCTGTATTGGCTAGAGAAAAGGGAAACACTTTTTGTTAATCTTTTATTATGTCCTAAGAGGATTTATGATAAACCCCACTGCTTTGTTCTCAGTATACATATACTTTAAGGATGTCCTATTCTTTTATTAGTCAAAATCTTATATTTCAGATGCTGCTGCAAACTCTACATTGGAGCAATCTGATAAAAATGTTTTATATATATATATGTGTAATTTCCACAGTAGGTTTTCATCTGAATTTAGCAGTATGTTTTAAATACACCTGTGGAATCAGCTTGCTGTCCTCATGTGCACATCACTAGTTTAGTATGTCTTTTATGTTGTTTTCTTTTTGATAGCAAACTGTGACGTTTATCTTAGATCGAGCTATTTTGATCCCGATGAGTGTTAAGTCTCCCATTGAGAAACCTGTCTGAGCACATATCTACATGATAAACTGCTCATGGCAAGAGTCATTTAATAGCCTACCTTTCTTCTGTTGCCTGGAGACAGTACAGCCTTCGTTGTAAATGGGTTACCTGAAACCCAGGCCTGGATCCTTTCCAGGTGTTGTGAACAGGAAATGCACCTTGCTGCGGTTATGTGAACTATCTCACTGCAACTCAATGAAAGGTCATCTTTAGATCACATTGATCGCAATCTTTAAATGAAAGAAACGATGTTACTTTGTTGTGAAATACTTTAAAACTGTATTGTTGTGTCTGAACAATGATTTAGGTCAGACTGCAGTAACTTGTTTAACACATTGAAGTCAGGTACATGCCACAGGTTTATACTTGTCAATGTTTTTCAAGTCTATAACAATTCTATTTTACGTGGATCTTCAGCTTTGAGTGCGATTTCTTACAAAATGTATCTTTTTCCCATTTTTTAGCATGGACGAACCCCCCTACATCTTGCAGCCCACAAAGGACATCTTAATGTGGTCCAGATCCTGATAAAAGCTGGGTGTGAGCTGAACATACAGGATGATGTAAGTAAAACCTCTGTAGTCACTTACTGTTACAGTGAGAACAGTTATCCCAAAAACGAAGTGAAAGAAACTCTCCAATATCAGCACACGTATATATATATATTTTTTTTTTAATTTTTTTTTTCTTAAAAGAATAAAGCCTGGTTCACAACTGGGCGTTTTACAGCGCGTTCCTACGAGCTGTAAAACGTTCAACATGTGAAAACCAATAATTGCCTATGGGCATGGTCCCCACCTGGGCGTATTTCAGCGCGTAGGAACGCGCTGAAAAACGCCCTACGCCCAAAGAAGCACAGAAGCTTCTTTGGTGCGTATTTTCCGCGCGTATGCATTAGGATACAGCCGGATAGCCCTTGGAAACGCACGTTTGTCGCGCGTTTCTTTTACCGCAAATCGCTTTTTATTGCTGTTCATGGTTTTGTTTATATGCTCCCACATGTCTTGTCTGGCGAAAACCTTGTCACTGTGACCGTAAGGGCTTGTTAACATCAAATACGGTGCGTTCCAGAAGCAGTTAGCTGGTGGAACGCACTGTAATCGCACAATAAACTCCCCCAGTGTTCTGGGGCATGGTGGAGCATTCAAGTCAACGGTACCGCAGCCACGCCCCCTGCCCACAATGCGATCATCTACACCGGAATGCATGGCAAAACAAAGCCTGCATTCCGGTCCAGTGCAATCGCAAAAAAGTGCTGCATGTTGCAAGATTCATTTACTGATGTTATTTTTTGCTGCTCTTTGTTTATAAAATAATAATTTATAAATATGTATTTTGTAAAATTTTCGTTGAGCACTGAATCGTGTGTGTGTGTGTGTGTGTGCAGGGCCGGCCTTAGGGGTGTGCGAGC